ATGTCAGGAGACTAGGATAGGTATGGAGCTAGGGTGTCCTCTGAGTGCAGTCCTGAATGTCAGGAGACTAGGATAGGTATGGAACTAGGGTGTCCTCTGAGTGCACTGTCCTGTGCCAGCTGGCAATCTATTTATGTTGGAAATTGCTGGAAGTGATGAGGATATGAGACATTCTGCACCCATTATTTCAAAAAGCCAAGGTTTTGTGCTTTGATCCTAATTATTACAATTAAAGTAGGTTAATATTGTTCTACTACTGATTTTTTTTTCTTTCAGAAAAGATTGTTGTTGTAGGTCTGGTTTCATGTGTGTTGTGTGTGTGTGTTTTGTTTAGTTGTTTTTTTTTTTTTTTCCTTATTCATTACACTAATAACAAAATAGGGCAGATCTGTTACTGGTATTCTTTTCCTTTAACTGATTTATTCAGTTTAGAGCATGTTGTGTGTAATGGCCAGTTCTAACTTTTATGAATGTTTGGGTTTTTTTTTCTTCCAGAAGACATATATGATTGGCTTCGCAAGAGTAAGTTCTCTTTGAAAGAGTCTGTTGGTGCATTGGAGAGCAATTCTGAGGAAAACTTTCCACTGAGCCAGTTTACTACTGTGGACAGAGAAGCTATTTGGGCAGAAGTGGAAAAAGATCCAGAGAAGCCTCGGTTAAAAACTGAAGAATCTGAAAATGGTACCTCTTGTAATCCAGTAGCTTCACACGAGGCAGACGGTGACCAAGATAATAGTGAGCACACAGAATCAGCTGATACCAGCACAGGCCACGATAGTGAAAATACATCCTCTTTTTCTCCTTCTCTGGAGTTGCAAGAAGTGAGCAATGAGGAACACGATAGTGCTGCAGTGGATTGCAAGGATAAACCAAAGCATGCAAGTTCCTTCAATGCTTTCCTCCCCGAAAGCTCCAAATCCAATGTAGCACTAAGTCTTGTGCGTGCTGACTCTGAGAGGACTCAGGCATCAGAATCTTTGTCAAGTGATGAAGAGGTGGACTTGGAGCTCCAGGAAATTACCCATTCCAGGTTGCTCAAGCAGCAGAAGGAAAAGCAGGAGATGATTGAGGCTTTGTTCAAACACATGCTGTTGTATTTGCAGCCTTATGATTCCAGGAGGGTACTGTATGCTTTTTCTGTTCTGGAGGCAGTACTCAAAACAAACCCTAAAGAATTTATTGATGCTGTAGCTAGTACTAGCATGGATACCAGCTCCACAGCACATTTGAATCTTATTTACAATCTTCTAGCTCGCCATCAGGAAGCCCTTGTAGGACAAAGTTTTTATGGCAAGCTTCAGACTCAGTCCCCCTCCATGTGTCCCCATTCTCTCCTAATAGAACTGCTTACTTACCTCTGTTTGAGTTTTCTGCGCTCGTATTATCCATGCTACCTGAAGGTCACCCACAGAGATGTGCTTGGCAACAGAGAGGTTCAGGTAAAAAGTGTGGAAGTCTTGATTCGAATGATGACTCAGCTGAGTGTCATAGCAAAGTCTGCAGAGAATAGGAATCTAGAGTTCATACACAATTTGCTGGGAAGATGCAAAATTCAAGAGTTTGTTCTTCTTTCTTTATCTGCATCTATGTACACAAGCCAAAAACGATATGAACTACTTATGGCAGATGCAGTTAATAATGTTCCTGAAGAAGATCTCTTTGAAGAGAGCCTAGTCAACTTTGGGCATGATCAAATATGGAGCGAACACCCACTCCAGATTGAGTTGCTGAAGCTTTTGCAGGTTTTGATAGTTTTGGAGCACCATCTTGGACAGACTCACGAGGAGCAGGAGAATCAGTCAGACCTCTTTAAAGAATGGCAGCAGGCTCTTAATTTCCAGCAGGCCATCGGCGCAATGCAATACGTCTATCCACACCCAATAACTTCACAGGGATTATTTGTTTCTGCCGTTGTTAGAGGCCTCCAACCAGAGTATGGCTATGGGATGCATCCCACGTGGGTAGGCTTAGTCACATGTTCCTTGCCCTATTTTGGGAAATCCTTAGGCTGGACTGTGGCACCATTTGTTGTACAGATTTGTAAAAACCTGGATGATCTTGTCAAACAGTATGAAAATGAAACTGTGAAGTCATCTGTGAAACCATCAGCAAGGTAAGAGTCTGCAGTGTGAGATCCGTTATTTATTTATTTATATTACCCCTTGTTACAGAGTAATACCCATTAACTTACTCTTTTTAGCACTGTGCCTCCCAGAGTTTGATCTCTGTCTCTTGCCCTAGACTGAGGTGGAGGGAGTGTTTTTGCAGCAAAGCTCATTGCAGTTGAATGAGGAAGGAAAAGGGATCAGTAGCAAGAATGCTTACTGTCTCCTTCTGTCTGCCATCCAGGGGAAAAGAAGTTCCTGGTTTTGAAAAGACTTGGAGTTTTTGAGGACCTACTGATGAGAGACTCTGAAGAAGAAAAATATAGTATTAGTCTCCAGTACAGGCAGTAAGGAAAAGGAGTATGGGGGGGGGGGAAGGATGTCAAAGATTTCTGGCAAGGTGCAGGGTAATATTATAAAAGATCTAGACAAGGAAATGTGTTTATCCAAGCACAGTTTCAGAATTGTCTGGTTTAGTATTGGTGTCTGGTCTTTTCAACATTCCTTTAACTATTGAAGCAGGTCTCTACTGGAGATACTTGGCCTGTTAAGCTTTTTATTTATTTATGTATTTTATCCTCCAAAGCTTAACGTCTAAAAGAGAAAATGTTACACCTGATTACCCATTAACCCTTTTGGAAGGTCTGACAACCATTGGTCACTTCTGCCTTTTGGATCACCCTAATCAAACTAAAAAGGTAACTGCTCAATGCCCACCACTCACTGAGCAACTTGGCATGAGTTCATCAGTGTGCATGCAGTGTGTATGGCTCAGAGGTGAATATAAGTAGTGAGGGGGAGTTGGTGTGAGAAAGGTAACCCTAGAAAAGTTAATTGCATACCAAAGAAGAGAAGTGAGTGAACATATAAAGGAGCGGGACAGAACTTAATTTTGTATTTGAAGCAAGAAAGGTTCGTTTTAGGCAGAAGAAGTTTAAGATGATCACGCAAATATTAGTCTTGTGCAGCTTCTTTATAGTTGCTCTGTCAATAAGTGACTTCTGTTTTCTTTCAAGTCAGGCAGACGTTGAAATATTATTTCTCTACTTCTTTTGTACCAGTGACATAAGAGGAGGATGATATCCTAATATACAATTTCTCAGCAAACTGAGTTGCTTTATGCGAAGATAGTAAATAAAAAATTCTGATAGTAGCAGTATAACTCAGAAATAGAACAATTGGATGAATTACTTTTAAAGCTGTTTTTACAAAAGATTTTCATAACTACAGAAAAGGAGCAATGACTCTGCAAGACATTATATAAAGTATTTTAATAATCATATTTTTGTTTTTCTAGTCGTCATGTGTAGGTGAACCTACAAATCTGAGAAATGCAAGGAATGCCATTTTAGAAGAATTGCCTCGTATCATTAACACAATGTCTCTTCTTTGGAGCATTATAAAAAGGGAAGACACTCAAAAAAGGCCAACTGACTTCTTTGGGACAACTAAGGGCTCCTCTTCAGTCTACTTTAAAGCAACCAAGGTAGGAGTTCTTTTAAACTTCTGTATTTCTCTTTGTCTTTACCATCCCTTCTTTCACCTGGGCTTTTTACATAGAGTTCATAGGAATAGTTTTGCTATCCTCAAAACAATATTATGGCACAAAGTTTTGGGGAACTCTTAGAAGAGCTACAGAGTTGTGCAGTAGCTGCCGACAAAGCAGATTTGTGTTGTTCCCTCTGCCCATCTGGACCTCTAGCTGACCTGTTTGGTGTTGCTACTGCTAATGGCTGCTGTAGAGCCAGCCTCTCCTGAGTTATCTGCACCTCCAGCAGGCACTAATGCACAACTGAGCAGAACTGTGGTTCCCACATATGAAAGTTTTGCTTTTTGTGAATGACGTTGCCATACAAATTGCTATTTGTATTTTTGATTTTTTTTTTGGTTACTTAATTTACTCAATTCATGGAATTTAATATCTTCATTGAAAGTCAGTGGAGAGAAAATTATTGTTAATGACCCATTGCCAGTGCTTGCTTTTAGATTACTATATATGATTTTGTGGGTATCATTTTTTTTCTTGATTCCTAGTGAAATAATTAAATTACTTTTCCATAAGAAAGCTGTCTCAGAGCCATTAAGCATATGAGTAATAGTTGGTGTCTGAGAACATCCAATTTGGTCTTTTAATCTACGAACTGTAATCCTTAGCAAAGGCATCAAAATGTATTGAAACACATAGCAAATTGTAAAAGCAAGGATGTTTCAATTATTTTTATACTTTAGGAAAAGAAGTACTAAATTTTTTATTTATTTATTTTTAACTTTGTTGCAGAACAGCTTTCTTCACTCATTTAAGTGGAATGCATATTACTCAATCTAAATGTTACATTTTTAAACATCTGCTGGAATAAAAATACTAAATTCTTCCTTTTTTCCATTTAGATATTGATAAAATATAGTGGGGGAAAAACATTTGGAGAGGACAGAGAATATACCGCAAGAAATTAGTTTTTCCTGTTTGCAGTCTGTTTTACAAAGTGTGTGGCTACCTTCTGTAAGGAAGACACTAACTTAAGAGCAAATTCTTAAATGTAGCCTGACCTGTAAAGAAATTCTTCTGCTGCTGTTCTCTTTCAGAATATCTTTAGAAATGGAGCTTCGTAAGGCAAAAGCTAAGTTTAGCAATGACAAATCTTTTTTTTTTCTTCCTCTCTGTAGACATTAAAAGCTAAAATATTGGACTTCCTGAACCCACTGACAGCACAGCTTGGAATGCAGTTGATGGCAGCAATTGCAGCAGTATGGAACAGCAAGAAACCTCATAGGAGTCAAAGTAAAATAAAGGTGACACTGAAGAACTGTAGGCTTATTTTTTCAGTGTAAAAGTGAATGAGCAATTCTAAACTCCAATCTTGTTCTTAACTTCTTTGCAAGTGACAAAGGCAAGCCACTGAAGAATCTAAAGTGTTCATATTAATACATAAATCTATAAATAAACGAATAGAAGTAATCAAATAAAAAAATTCAAGTCCAACACTAATAGTCACTCTTTTAAATTAGTACGAACTATAATATTGAATCAGCTTAAGTTCCGGGGGAAAATTTAAGGCATAGTATTCCCTGTAACTGAACATAGTTCCTGAGTAGGAGACTTTCTCTTGCGCTTTCACTTGGGCTTGCAGAAATCACTTTGGAGGCATTGGAGAAGGTCCTGATACATTGCATAGTTCATTTAACTTGTCTCACATAAGTTTTGCTTAAGTGTTGATATTTGATTAGTCACTGGAAAAGCTTTCAGGGTTTCAAACCAAAAAGTTTCTCGACTACATGTTTTGCCTGGCAGCATCTCACGGGGCATATGGGTGTGTTTGCTTCTTTTGTCAGATTCTTCCAGTGCCTAGTGCATCTCAGCTTATTCTTGTGGACTTGATATGTGCACTTAACACATTGAAAATAGACACTATATTACACCTAGTCAAAGAAGTAGTCAAGAAACCATCACAAATCAAAGGCGAAGAGGTAACTGCCAAGATAACTCGATTTTCTACATGTATTCTATTCTGGTTTTATTTTGAAGGGTCTTTTAAATAGCATGAGAAGGAGAGGTATTTTTAAAAAGTATGCTTCATTTTTGTTCCCTAATAAAATATGTTTTCTAGAATGTAGGCTTCTGTGTTCAGATCAATTCAAAATAAGTGAGTGCTTCAGAATATCTTCCTAGAGAAGTTGCTGGTAATGAATAGTTGTGGAGTTCTCCAGTACAGAGTAAGATGGCAAAGCTTCATAAAGCTACTGCAAATGTGAAGTTCAGTGACACCTTTCTATCTTCTTGCCCTTAGATCAATTGTTAGAAATACTTCCACATTGACTCTGCTATTTTCTGACTGGGTTTCAGGGAAGACACTTTTCCTGCCATGCCTACCCTTGTAGGAGCTCCTTTAGCTCTGAAAATCCCCTACCGCATATTGAGAAGTAATGTGATTGCTTCTGAAGTAGGTCCTCTGTTTAAAATCTCTGAACTCCCTCTCATACTGCTGTATGGATGGTTGAATCATACTTGGTTGCCCATCATAGTTGGGAGTACAAATGGCACCTAGGCTTCTCCATCTAACACAAGTACCCAATAACTTGGTCTTCTATTGAAGGTGTATAATTGCATTCTTGTTTTTCTCTTTCAGAAATCTTCTCTTGTAGATATTCCCATGCTGCAGTTCAGTTTTGCTTTCATTCAAAGGTAATTCAATCCTTATAGACAAGGACGTCCTATTTTATGCTAAATGTTAGGGTAACAGTATTACTCTTTTAGTTTCACTTTGATCTTTGTGGTGCTGTGGCATAGAACACCTTTATATTGGAAGTGGTTATTGCCACTTCATTACTAAGTGGCAGATAGGCACAAAATAACAAGGCTGGATCATTATGTTCTATTGATCGGTTGATAATGCAAGTCTGAAAGTCTCGTTTCATACCTGTAGTGAGCAATATACTTCAAGCAGTTTCTCATTAACAAGACACTTATATAGGTTCTCACAACATTTGTCTCCCCTTATCCACTCTGTGTTGCCAGAGGAATGGGTAGTGAATGCTAAATCTTACTTGCAGTCTTCTCAGAAGGATACAGTAGAATTGCTGTGAATAGAATCTGCACTGGGAGTGTAGGATTAGTCTCCACAATAGTCCTTGGATCAAAACTTCTCATTGTGTAATTGGTCTGGAATACAGGAGGCTCTACAATTTATGGAATGCAAGAAACTAGGGAGATAAAAAGTAAGCTAGCATGCACTGGAGGGACTAGCTAAGCTTATTCCTTTTCTTCCTCGTGAAGACCCACCCTTTGACAGTGCTGGTTGACGTATCGCACATGCTGCTAGCATGTGCTAATGTAGCATATTGCCTCTGCTGCCAGATATTTACCACACTGCTGGATCAAATAGGAAGGGGTATGATCTAAAACACTAGCCTTTGTGGAAGCTTTCGGGGTCACTAAGTGTGGGTTGGGGATCTTCTGGGTTTTGTGTGTATGTTTGGGGTGGGGAGGAAGTCCTTGAACCTTAATTTCAGACTTCCTTTTTTTTTTTCATTTTTTAAATTATTTATTTAATTTTATTTATTTTATTTTTGTAGACTGCCTATCTCAGCCTTGCAGGAGAACTTCCAGCCCTTATTAGGGCTTCTGAAGGAGTCTGCACAGTTGAATTTGGCTCCTCCTGGACACTTCTTACTTCTCAGGTACAACTTCTGAGAGAATAAAGTTTAGAAGGTACATCGAGTAGAACTGTCCAGTTACTAACTTGGAGTGAATTATTTTCCCACAGTATTCTGAATGACTTTGTGACTAGAACGCCTACTCTAGAAAACAAAAAAGACCAAAAAGACTTGCAGGTACAGTGTATCCATATATGCCTCTTTCTTTTAGTTCATTAATTCAGTATTGTACATCCAAGTAAAAGTGGAGATGGTGTGATCCATACCTAGTGTCAGAATTCACCTCTACTTGAAGAGCATGTGAATGAGCATCTAAATGTTGTGGCTCAGGGCAGTTAAATATGAGAGTGAAATATGAGAGATTTGATGTATGGAATGTCTCTAACAAATTTTTTGCCAAAAACATGTCAGTGGTAGCCGTGAAGTGTTCAAAACTCTTTTCTCTGGGTATTTTTATGATTTTTCTCAGTTTGAATTATAATGCAATGTATCGTGAGTACATATGTAAGTACTAGACTACTTTAGTTATCCTTAAAGCTGATAGCTGGACTTGGCAATGTAAATAACTATCAGTTCACTCTTTATGTAAAGAAGGGGTGGAGAACAGGATTCTCTTCCTGTACTGATCATACTTTCACCTGAACAGTTTAAGCACTACCCACATGCATGCAGTATTGACTGAGTCAACATAATGTAGTGAGGTGAGATAGTGTTACGGAAATTTTGTTTGCCTACAGAGCAAATAGATCTCTACTTCTGCTTCAGAGATTGGCCAGTAAAATGACAATGACAACAAAATGACTGTTTTGCCATCTTGCACTCTCTTCACAAATGACTTATGTTTTTAGCTGAATGCTTAGGACTTCCTTTCCATAGAGTGACCAGTTTTTAATATCACTGAGAAGACAATGTCTTGAAATATGAAGTTCTGCATATAGTTTGATGCCATGTTTTACCTTACACTTATAGAAAGACTGAAATATAGTCAAATGAATTCCCCAAAAAATAAAATTGAGCATTCTGACTTAGTTGTCTCCAAGAATAAAAGGAAGAAAAAGCCAGATAGCTGGAAGAAAAGGCAGATTATCTGGAAACAATCAGTGTTCAAAACAATGCAGGCATTGGTATGCCATTTCTGAAGGGTTGAACCAGTCAGATGTCGTCCTTGACAGGTGGCAGTTTATAAATAATATATTAGCTATCCAGCATCAGTCCGATTACACTGAATATATATGATTGCTTGTGTGCAAAATTGTAATTAAAATCTCCATATGTTTTCTTTAAATCTCCTATAGTTTTTTTTTCTTCTGATTTGTATTGTCTTGTCCACTTTCATTTGAAGAGAACTCTGGAGAACACAGATCAGAGGTGTATTTATGTTTCTAAGATATAGATAAAAGTGCCTGCTTTTAAAGATCCTGCCAAGTTCAATGTAAAAGTGATTTTACTGGATTGACCAAGTGATGATAGCTTTTTTTCTGATGCCAGATTGTGTGGTTATATTACAGGATGTGACCCAAAAAATCTTGGAGGCTGTAGGAACCATTGCTGGTTCTTCTCTGGAACAGACTAGCTGGCTTAGCCGGAATTTAGAAGTGAAAGCTCAACCTCAGATTTTACCAGATGAGTTCAACTTTGAAGACGTGAATGGTAACATGGTTTTGTCTGATTTGCTGCTACTATGTGCCACTTAAATTCACTGTAAAGTTATAAGGTGTTAGACAGTATGCAGTCTTTGTGAGAAAGAAGTAATCTAGATGAAAAGTAAAATGAAAAATATGCTTTGTCCTCCACTAACAGTGCCAGCCTAGAGCAGGATTAATAAATATCTGCAAATTGTGTATAATACAGAGGAAAATGTACTGCAGATGCATGCAATACCTCACCCAGGTCTTGTATTTCTCCATGTATGTCATCCTAGTAAGATCCCCAGAAACACTTCATTGTAATACCAGTGGGCAAATAACAATTCTATTTAGGAAGAAAACTAGCAAACAACAAAGTTTAGATATGTTTTGTCTGAAGTGCACACTAAATGATTTTGCCTCTTGTAGATACATCAATGACACCATCCTCAATGGTTTCTGCCTCTGCTCCCTCAATATACAGTGTCCAAGCCCTTTCACTCCTTGCAGAAGTAAGTAACCAGATTTGTAGTTGCTGCTCTCATCCACAGGGTTGATAGTGATTGCTATTGTTGAGTAGGGGAATACATTCGATTTTTCCGTTAGATTTAGTGAGAATTTAAATCTTGAGTGAGACATTCTTTGCACACATAACTGAACACATGCTGAAATGTAGCATGCTCTAACCTTTTGTCTGAAATACCTATTGTAGGTTTAATGAGATTCTTTTTACTTTTAAGGTTCTTGCTTCCCTCTTGGACATGGTTTACCGGAGCGATGAGAAGGAGAAAGCTGTGCCATTGATTTCACGTTTGCTTTATTACGTATTTCCCTATCTACGCAACCACAGGTGATTTATCTCTCTGAATTATTTCTTAAGCCTAATTTTTGAGAACACTGTCAAGATTTCACTTTTTCTTCTGTTCATGGTTGTTTAGTAATTAAGGGGAACTGTTAGTGTGGGAGACAGGCCAACCTATATGATGCAAACCTCATATAAATAACTTTCTAATTTGGTCATTAACTGTATGGGATAAATAAGCATGTTCTCCCCTTCCTATACATAAAGATGACCTTTTAGTCTAGAAAATAATCACTTCCCCCAAGTAAGGGAAACTTTCTTTACGAGCCTTAACCCTGTTAAATCCTATGCACAGAGAAAAATGCAGAATCACACTCCGGTAGAGCTTCTCTCTCACTGTAGAAGATCTAGGAAACTAGGCACAGTAGGCTAAAATAAACTTCTGGGATAACTCTGTCCTCCCCCTCTTTTTTGCCCACAAATATACCTTCCAGCTCCAGGAACAGGTAATGAGAACTCCTTACTCTTAAGAGCTATAATAAATGCTCTGAAAAGGTACTCAGGTGTGAAGTTGCTCAGACTGTCAGCTTACTCCAAGTTGTGTTCTTTTGCTTTAGTTGTCTGTGATCTTGCATCCCGAGTGATGAGGCATTTCTCACAGTAACCTTTCCTTTGGGGAAAGTATGTAGCATATCCAGGAAGTTAATGCTAAAAATGCCAGATCTCTTTTCAACGTAAACACCTAAGAGCCATCTGTCAGAGTGATCTGTCAACTCTGCCCTATTGAACATTGCAGAACTGCCCTGAAATAGAGTTGAGTTCCTAAATTACAATTTGTGTGTAGAGACTTGTCAGTGCTGCAGCCTCAAGTGAGAGGGCTAACTATCCATTTTGAATCTGCATTTTGGTACAGAGACAGAGCTGTTGGACTTTAAAGCATGACAGAGTCCCTATAAATGAGTTGTGGTTTTATGCTTTTAGAGTCTTTTTCTGGCTTCTTTAATAGATGGTCAGAATTCAGGATAATACTTGATGGTTGTGTTTCCGTTAGTGATGCATCAGAGCAGTAGTGTGTGTGGTGTGGTTTTTTTGTTTGTTTGTTTTGTTTTTGTTTTGTTTTGTGAAGTGAATCCTCTGAATTATCTCCATTTGTAAAAGGCTGATTCAGTTCTTCAAGTTTTGTTCCTCAGACTAAAATCATTTGGAGAGAACCAGGGCAGAAGCTCCTCTGCAGAGGTGATTCAGCAGGGCTTACTAGTTCCTGACCATGCTGCAATGAGGAGGACTGGAGTGTAGCTACCTCACATGAGCCCTTAGAAGTTACTCAAACCTGGGACCTCCTGAAGCCGTTCTTGTGCTGTGGGCCAAGTAAGCTTGCCCTCCACTGCAGGCCCTCAGTTCTTCCATGCATTTGATACCTGCCTGTCTGCTTCTCTTTCCTTATCCTTCCACTCTTCTGACACTCCCTCCCAGCTTCACCAGCCCTTGTTTCTTTTCTCCACTGATGAATGCTACTGCTTTCATTGCCCTTTACTATTGTTGCTTTTCAATTTCTGGCATTTTGACACCTACCTTTTATGCTTCCTGGGAAAGAAGTGCAACAAGGAAAGAAAGGCATTGTGGAAGTGGCCAAGAGTTTGTTAACAATCTGAATGAAAGCCAGGATGAGCACCACAGTGCCTGTTACAGAGAACTAGGAGAAATCTTCAAGTAGAGAAGTTTGCAGCCTGTTTGACCTCAAGTCTGAGGATCACTGTGCAGTGGGATCTAGAGGAGTGTGTGCTGGCCCTGGACCACACAGGGAGATCTGAGCAGGGACAAATCTAGGGATGCTTCTCATCCATGGACCCCTTTCTATCCCAGAACTGGCCTGAACACAACTGTCAGTTTAAAACAAGGTATATGTACAGTTTCTCAATACTTGTTTTTATAGTAGTTTTGTGAGTTAATTCTCTTATTTGATAAATACCTTAATTTTATCCAAAAATGAGTGTTTTTTTTTTTCTCTCGAAAGAGAGAAACTGTGTACATCACCACTTTGACCACAAGGGCTGTTTTGTCATGGGACCTTGAAATGTGAGAAGTTTTCCATGTATCAATCACTTGACAGAAACTGCACATGCTGTCTGTGTGGATGTCTCAGCCAGGCATTGGGTCAGCTGTGTGTACAGCAACTTTGTCATAATAAAACTCCCTCCTGGGCTTCTGTAATAAGAACCAGCTGCTAGTCCCTTTCCTTCCCCAAATGAGTTAGTTGCAGTCATAGCCAGGGCAGTGGCTGCAATGCCCCAGTTCTTCCTTGCAGCCACTGGAGCAGATTAAAGAGCTGCTGTTTGTTCTGAACACAAAGCAGTTGGTAACTGAGGAGCAGCTGAGGACAGAGTTTGTGGTGAAGCTCATTTTTCCTTTGCATACAAATAAGCTCAGGGTATCACCAACGACTTGCAGTGAGCAGCAGTGATACAGTGATGCCTGTGAGGCTTTGATTTGACAGTGCAGAAGGCTCCCATAGCGTAGTGTGCACCCCCTGGAGCACAGGCCTTCAGTCTGGGCACAGTCTGGAGCACATTTGGAGCACACTGACACTCCTGTCAGTGCTCAAAGACCTTTTCCTGTGCTCCTTGAGGAAAAAATGGAAGCTAGGAGGAGGAAGGCCCCAGTCATGCATCTTCAGACACTTGGAAAATGTTGGGTTTATTCTTGTCTCTTCCTGTGAGGAGGGAGTTGCCGTGGGTATCCCTCCAACTTGTTCTCACATAGCTGTGGGCAGGAAGCAACGTATACCCCAAGGGACTGTTTTGGAGCACCCAAAGGCCAAATTAGCCTTGCAGAGGGAGGAAGATAATAAAAATGTAGTAGAAAGGCTCCTACAGGGTGCTCAGCAGGGCAGACATGGCCCACTTGACACCAGGTGAGCAACACTCAGGAGCAGGAGGCTCTGAAGAAGTGAGACTGGCCGCCCCCACAGGAGGTCTGGTCCATGGGCACTCCCTGCCTGTAACTGCTGGGCACCTTGCTGGAAGAAGCAGCTTTGCTTCCTTGGTGCTGAGGGCAACCTCGGCACCTTTCATGGCTCGTGTGCAGGCACTCAGCAGAGCCCCTGTCCACATGAACCGATCAGTTTAGTAGGGTGAGGTGTCAAGAGGCTCCTCACGAGGTCGATATGGAGGCTGCAAGGGCCTCTCTTGTCCTTGGGTTGTGCTGCATTAGCCAGACTTGTTAATTTTGTCTTCCTATGCACTCTGCTGGCCCGCAAGAGAATGTAACTGTTATTCCTTCTGCTGCTTCCCTGTTTCCATTCTTATAAGGTATGAACTGTGATTCCTCCAGAAACTGAAGTGTTTTGTTGTTTGATCTTTGTGCTGCCCAGCTCCTGTTGAGCTACGGATGCTTCTATTCAGATTTTTGGCCTTTCCTTAAGGCTTGTCTTGGTATCTATGTTGGGGAATGGGCCCAGGCTATAGGATGGGGTATCAAGGCGCTGGACAGGTTGCAAGACCCATCATGAAGTGGGAAGGTTGCAGGCCCTCCCAAAGCCCTGTCTCGGTTTTAGCTAGAAGCATAGCAGTAGATGGGTGATCTTCTCTGGCAGCTGTGCAGCATAGCACTTTTCCAATAGTGGCAGGAGAGGGAGAGAGTGGAAAAAGTTTCTTTGCCATGAAATTTTACTTTCTATTCTGCAGGGTCTTGTCGGCTGGTCATCTCATGTTTCCCTCACATTTCTCCTAGCTGCTGCTCACGGATAAGCTCGAAAGCACATCCTCTTTTCTGCAGCAGCTCTCTGCAAAGTGGCAGCAAGCGACCTAGCCTGGTCCTTGCCAGCCCTGTTCTCCTGAGTTACGCTGCTGCTATGGTAGCCATTATTGCTTCCCTTTTCCTAGCTGCTATGTTTTCCTGAATGGACCAGTTTATACCAAAGGTTGAGAGCATCACCCACAGCTCAGGAAGAGAAAGAGAGGGTATTGTCAGCTCTTCATGTATGACATGTTTCTCACCCTTGGTGGCTGGGACGTATCCCATGCCAGGCTTGCAGTCAGTGTGCCCAGCACTTGCAGCAGGCACAGAGGAGAACCCTGTACGCAGCACAGCCACCATGGAAATGCTTCCCGGGACTGCTGGCATCCAGCTGCTGTGCCGGGCCTGCCAGCCCCCAGCCACTGCGAGCTACTCATTCCACATCTGCCCCATGTGTGGAGATGGCCTGATTAAAACTGGCGTGGGTGCCATCACTGTCAAGACGTGGCCTTGTGAACTGATGCCGGGGATAAGTGGCAGCTTCTGCAATGCTTAAATAGCGATTTAAACAAATTTTGGGTGTGTAGTGGTGTTTTGTTTTCTTTTTTCTTTAAAGAAGATAACGCTATTCCTTTTGACCCGAGAGACTGGCTCT